TATGATATTTGCATCATTAATAAAGTGAAAATGACATAACTTTGATCAAAGTAAAATAAATACGTCAAAGTTTGGTATCCTACACAACATTATAAAATACTTGTTATAAAATTTATTATTTGAATTACATTAACAGTTACAAAACTTTATTATCTTTGAAGAGATTTGTTTATAAAGTTTGAATAAAATAACTATTTGAACACTGATTTGCATATTGTACAGTACGAACATTATTAAGGAATTGTAGTCGAATAGCATGCAATCGTTTACATGATGAATGATGGCTAAGAAATTCGCCGGCAGAATCATCCATGTACGTTTCTGTTAAAACACAGACTGACAAATTGCAAATATAATCCCGTGGTTAGAAAAAAGGATTCTCTTGTCTACGATTACGGAATTAGATCATCAGTTTTAGTGTTTGTTTGGAAAAAAAGATCAAAACAATCTGTTGTGAATACTTTGATGTTAAAAGTATATTTAATTCTCTTTTGGTTACCTGGACAAGTTATCATCATGAAATGATAAAATAAACAATTTTCTACAGTTGCGAAATTAGCAGATTAATGTCATGTTTTGGGATGGAAAATTGAGTATTTACTTTGAAAGATACTGAAAAAGTTTCCTTTAATTAAACTGTTTAGCGTTCACATCATATGCACTTCAATAACAATAATGGATAAATTCAACCCTAATGACATTTTTTAGTTTATATTGATAATAAATTACGTGTTGCCGTGATGGATGTGTAGTCAACACATTAACACCAATTAATTGACTTAAATAAATTCAAATTATTATTAAAAGTTGTATTTATGATACAAAAATATAAGTAAAGGCAACATTTTGTTTGACTTTTTTATCAGTTTATATTGTAAAGGTTCTTCAGTGTTTCTTCGGTTTACCGTCAATTTGTCTGGTAAAGATGACATGGTACGTAACGTACTAGTTATCGATGCTAGGTTATCAGTAAAATTTGGCCATCCTAATGTCATTTTCAAAATTTCATTAGTTATGACATCGCAATAGCAATGTCATATATATAAATGATAATAATATCAATATCAATAATATTGAAAAGCTTTGGAACCTCGACCTGACGCTTAATAGTTCTACAGGTTATGCAGTATATGTATATGAATCAGGCTACGTTTCCTGTTGTTTAGCTTTACCTGTTCGTCAATACTTTACAGATATAGTGTGTTCGAATCTGAACATGACCTTTGTATCATTTATCTTGGTCTAGTTAGGGTACGGGGATAAAACACGAACAGTGTATTTATTGTTGTAAGACCTACAGAAAGGTGTAGCATGACACAGTTTAAAATGTGTGAAAAAAAGGATAATAAAAAGATGATTTTTTTCCCCCGAAAACTTCTTGTGCATTTTCCTCGTTATTATATATGTGACATCATATACATTGATTCAAATTGTTGATTTATTTCTCTTTTATCATAGAATAGTTGTTTCTTCCAGTAATTTTCTAAATAACGAAAGATAATTTGTGCTTTTTATCTTATATATGACTTTGGATATGGGTTTTGAGCTCCAATTCTTATGGTATTGATACTTGTGCAACCCTTAATACTTTAAAGTGCTATTATTGCATATTAAATGGAAAGTGCAAAAATAATCTTCTTCTATGTTAGTATAGTTTAGTAAAGTTCAGTGGCTAATGGGCCAGTCAGCGGCCAGGTGTAATGGGTCTAAGTGTAACAATAGAGTGCGGCCTGCACACTGTGCTGTCTGGCTGGTCAAGAATCATCTATTGGTAAAATATAAATATTTATTTATGTATATCTAGGATCTATGTATATATGTTTATTGTCATTTTCCTTTCAAAATATAGACCTCATTCAAATAATCGTTAATAAACCTGATATACATTGATCACTTAATACATTCATAATTATGATATAATTACGTGTTCAATCATTGCTACATGTATCTTATTAATATCGAACGGGCTTATATTGTCTGTGCCTGTCACCCAATCTCCTTGAAAACATGCCATTTTTGTCAATAAAATATATATAAAGGAAATATGTTAAAGAATTTGCTACAAGAAATTGAATAGTGTTGATTAAATTTATATGATAACGAAATAATGTCTCTTATTATTCGAAGAAAGGCGAACGTCAATTAAACATTAAGGTTATGGGTCATTAAACACGAACACGATGGAAATGAGGCGCCTGAACTCACAAGAATTATTTAATTCCTCCTAGTTGAAAATCTCTCTTATTGAGTGCGGTGTCCCCGTCTAATTGCCCGACTTTTTTTTTTATATGAGGCTGACTTCATCGAAAATCTTAATAGAACAAGTAACAATAGCGTTTCCATCGCCTTCGATTTCACTCTCAGATATAGTAAGGATGTATTACTTCAGTTTCAACCTCGGAGACTGATCGTCTACCAGCAAATAAAACACAAAATGAAGAAAAAATTGAAACAAAGCCGGGCACAGGTAACATTTTACCTGAACGATATGGTCAATTTGATAATTAAGAACTCATCAGTGGCATATTTCAGATGGAAGGAATGGATATCCATATCTAAAGGATGGGCTAACTGTTTAAGCGGAAGTGCTAATATTTTGGTCCCTGAATCTAGGAATAACGAAAGTTTGAGAAGTAAAAAGTATATGATCGTGGTATGATATATATATCTGTAACATGCTCACTGAACATTTTACGGAAGCGACAAAAAATCCCTTTCCAGCGATAGCAACAATGACATGGTTTTGGACCTAGAAGAGGATTCGAAACTTTAATACATTTCATATTTATTTTTATCGACAAGTTAGACGATTCAATATTTTGATAATAATCGATCTCAACAGTTAATGGAAGAGACGAAATTCCTTTCCCAAAGACACCAACAAATATAGATTATTCATTCAAATGAAGACTACATCTACTTTAGATATTAACCTTTTAATTACAGTAACTGCGAGAATGCATAGACAACACATAGTTGGTATATCTAAAAGTTCAATGAAAGGAATTGGCAAAGCTTTTGTTACAAGTCCTGATAATTTCTTCAGTAAGGGGATATACTTCCACAAAACTCAACAAAGAACAAAGATAATAAAAACCAGGAACGCGATCATTTCTTTTTGACATTTGTCGTGGTTTCACAAAATACGGTCCAAAAACGTTCAAGATATATACGTATTGCCGTTTGACTTTCTTTGAAAAGAAAACTTCTCTTTACAACCATAGAACGAAAGCGTCCCTTCGGTTTGATAGTGGTAGTGCAAAGAGTAGAACTGATACTCTGATAGATGACTTTTTTTAAACAACCTTCATTAGATGGTGGGTTTATCAAATTGTAAACAAATGTGTTTTTATAGCGGATTTCTTTAAATAAAGTAAATATAGAATATGTTAGAAACAAACATACAGTTAATTAATCATAGTTTAATACTGTTATGGTATACATATAACAAGTAAAATCCCGTCGGTATCTTTATGTACAAGTCTTGTGGATAATATCAACACGCATTGTTGTCATATAACCCGAGCAATGGTTAATGGTTGACTTATATCTGGTAATAAACAAACATGATATAGCAACTGTATTGATATTATAATGACAATAAACTTTTTAATGCCATCTTCTCCTTTTTTAAGACACACATCAAAACATTATGTATAAGGCAAAAAACAGTATAGAGAAGCTTTATGTACGCTACCCAAACGCTAATTGGTTCAATTTTGATATTTTTCTATGATATTAAAAATATTTAAAATTCCAAATCAAACATGTATAATGTTTCTCGATTTTTGTTTTTATTTCCAATGTTCTACCATTTAGCAAAATGGATTCTGAAGTAATTTATTTCTAAATTTAGAGCACTGGGCTTTCATCACATTTGGTTTTCGGCAATGGCGAGAACCCAGAATAATAGAACTTTTAAAGGCAATGGAAGTGTTTTTATTTTCAATATAAAGATTACAAAAAAGAAACCATTTTATATATGTATATTTATAACCCGGTTTAATGGACCAGAAACCGAAACGTATGTAAACATTCCGGTTGTTATTGTCTAAACCGAATACGTTTAAAATGTTGACAACGTACAATGTTTGTATCTGCTCCCAGACAAACAGCCATATCGATTTATTCAAACAAGCAAGTGCACAAATGAAATTTCAAAAACTATTTGAAACATTTTCTGACGGAGTGCAAGTCTTGGTAGCGTCATATTATATCGCGAAAATATTTTTAGCTCGAAAAGAGAAAGTACATATTAGAGAACGTGAAATAATTATAGAGTGTAGTATTCAACTCAGGTATAGACAGAATGAATAATGCATTTGCACGGAAGCACAGTATTTCTAGTATTGTACTTCCTAGCCCTAATGGGATTTATACGTATAACATCTTACAGTGTTCCTATCTGGATGTAAACCATTAGCCTGATGTATAAACAGCTTCTTACTCGATTAACCTGCCAATTACAATAATCAACTAAAAGTGATTAGTCGATCAAAATGTATAAGAAATTAGCCGACACCCGTATGTCACTTGATTCATTCAGGTGTATGTAATTAACTAATTTAGCTGACATTTTTATAATATTACATAATATAATGTATATTTTTGATCGTTAGCCATGAAAAGAGTTTTGCCACACATTTTTGTTTACATATGAGATACTTTGAATATGTTGTCATGGCGTTGGAATCGTGAAACTAAAGCCTCACCTATATATTCTAGATACAACATGGCGACCCTTGATACTCACAGAGGATAGGCCTCAGTTTTATCCAGCTCCATGGATCTAATGACAAATAAGGCTGATTTTGGAACCTATGATTTTTAGAATTATCAAAATTCAAAATATAAAAATGTCAACTTAATCAATAAAATATATTCCAACAACTGCACGTATTTTCAAAGGAATGGTGCTTAATAATTCGGATTTGTGTTATGTTATAAATCGTTCGTGATTGTTAATAACGTTCAATGCAAAAATTCCATATACAGTGTTGTTAAATATTTGAGAAATCCCCTTTTTTCAGAGATCGATGTTCGTTGTATACCGACTCCAACACTTCAGCGACGGGAGTCAATTCAACCTCTTTCAGTGCACCACAAAGAATGGCAAGCTTGCTGTTCGGTGGATTCTTGTTTTCATTGTTCCAATAGAGTATTAACGTAATTTTGTATTTGTTGTCAGATTGGTTTGCGGAGCGAATGTTTTCAATCTGGTTCATGCGTAAGCCAAGTTGTAACATCAGTTCCCATACTTTGGTTGTCGGTATCTCCTGTGCAAGAAAGAATAAGCTTTGTTCGCTGAAAAAATCTGAAAAGAAACGACAAGGTGAATTAGAAGTTTAACGGTAATGAATGTTTAATAATGCATTAGATATATTTTTCTGGGTTTTTTTCTTTCGAGATTTTTGGTATTTGTTAATGATCATATATTCACATATGTATTATTTCAAGTACTTACTCAACACGTTACATTTTGAAATTCAAATAAGATTATTTGATATAATGTTTACGTTTTCTGTACATATGCTAAGCAACCTGCACATTTGTATGTATTGATGTTCGTAATATACATAAACGGTATATTTAAACAGTATCAATTCAACAACGTTCCAGTACTAAAATTGCTGCATCTACATATAAACACCATTGATTTTTTATTTTTTTACAAATTTTATTCCAAAAAATATGCAAAGGGATAGGGCATCAGGCAAATCCTATATAAGCCTTCTCCTTACAACTTCGGTATTTTACATGTACAGTCATTGAAATCATCAAACAAACATATAAACAATTCATATAGTGTGTCACCATTGATTGCATCATCCGCTTGTGATGTTCTTCGAACTCCAGGTTGTCGTGATATTTGTCTATCTGGCTGCAGTTGGGTTTTTGGGCGCTGTGTTGGTTGTCGTTCTTGACGCACTGGTACTGTTTGCTGAAGTCCGACCAGATACAGTTCAGCGTTAATGTATGCCGTATGTAGGAGGCGTTTGGGAGTTGTATCCATTTCATACTGAATAATCCCCTTTTCACTTGTTATTCCTTTGTTTGGAACAACCGGGAAGTGGTTGTAGATTTCCCTGGCATTTCTATCATAGTACATGAAAGTGGAATTGGAGGGAACCTCGGGGGCTGTTAGCATTCTTCCATGGTGTAATACAGTAATTCTAAGGCGGCCAAAATTCTTCACAGGCACAGAAGGAGATACTGTGTTCCTCAGAAAGATCAGACCCTCCCGTTTTTGTAGCTCACGTTCCCTTCTTTTCCATTTTTTCTCGGGAACAATATCAGACCAAAGTTGTAAATCATTGTCTTCCTTATACAGGAAAACTAGAATTCTGCATTGATCTCTGCCTAAGCCATAAGTGTTTGACAGAGTTCTGGTGTGGTCTTGTCTGGGGTCACCATGGAACCCTCCGATTCTAAAAAGAAAGAAAGTGTACTTTTACAGAAGGTTGTGAGACATGTAGCAGTCTGGTTTTAATCTAGGCTATGATACAAACGACTATTAGATATTATTATTGATATTCGTTTTACTTTATTCACAACTGAACAATTTACATGCATTTGTATCGATCCAGACGTTTCCAAACAAGTTGTTATTGGTTACTCCGATACAATTTAAGTGTGACGTTACAAAGACTTGCCCGTCCATAAAGAATACATTAACTGCTTAATCGGGAGAAAGGGATACTATTACAAATCTCGAACTGAACCAGATATAATTATGACTTACCCTGAAAAGGTGTCCACCTCTACTTCATAAATATCGTTATCTCCCCCTACTTCCTCCTCAGGTACCTTCCTCATCTTCACATCTTTTAATATCCTCAAACATCCACTGTCGTCACAATGAAACAAGAAGGTTTCAGAAGATTGATTATCGTTGAATAAAGGATCCAGTTTAAGCCGAAGTTTTACCTTTTTCTTGAATGGCTGCGAATGGTGAACATACACGATATCTGATAAACTGGAGATGCTTGTGTCGGATCCCATTTCTTCTCTCAGTCTTTTTCTCTTACATTCACCTTCAATAGACATTGTCTATAAACAAAAAAACATAATAATATAAATATTTAAAGCAAGATATCGAACCAGGGAGCAAGTACCCTTGGTAGTATGTTTAGCAAAAATATCAAGAAAGTTATTTAATCAAATCATTTCATGTAAAACACTTCCTATGAACATTTACATATCCATTGTAATATTTTCATATGACATCAGTGTTATTTTGATTCGTATCAATCAATAGGCAACCCTTTCTTTATTGGTGAGTTGGAACCTCATTGTAAGAACCCCACTGATGACTGTATCTATTGTCTCCGACGTACATTTATGGTTATTTTCATGTTTCTCTCGACAGCTCCTTCTGGGAATGTGATTCGTTGATGTGTACAGAAGTCGTTTTTAAACTCGAACCCACCAGAAGGTACAATGACTTCTTCACACATATAACGCAATGTGAAGAATATGGTTTCTGTTGTAAAGTCATAGACGTCAACTTCTACGGTGCTACGTCCAACCTAGTGAAAAGTCAAAAACAAATATATATTACAGAAATGTCTTCAAAGAAAATAATTTTCCTGTATTTAGTTTTGAGTTTAACAAAGATCAACTGTTGTAAAGTCGTACACGTCAGCTTCTTCTGTGCTACGTCCAACCTACTAAAATGTCACACTGCATTACTGGGGAAAATGCACCACTCTTTGAGTACTAATATATAAACAAGAGCTAAAAATAAAGACATAATTAAGACCGAAATGGAAGAAAATGTGATTCCAAATAATAAGACATTCTTGACCCCACTGAAATTTGTTCTTGAAGGGTAAGGCATCATTAATATGGTTAAAACATAGAGGCGATAAATTGTGAACCGGAAGGAGTGGCTATTGACACATGCGGCAGCCGTTATGATATTTTTCCAGTGAAATCCATCAATATAATGTAAGTTATTAGCGATTTCAGATTAAGTTATCATGGTATACACTTAAACTCCAAAGGCGAAGTCAAATCAAGATGGCGACTATAACATTTCTACAACGTAGATTGAAGCTCCTCATGCAGAAACCTTGGATAACGTTAAGAGCTTATACACCAGGATGCTTCTAGCTAGAGATGATGAAAATGTACTTATAACAGGCATTGTAATAGCGACTTAACTGTATTGTGAAGTGAACTTCATACGTTAAGGAATATCGATTGTTACCTTAAAGGAAATCGATATTTAGCAATCGTTAAAATGAAGTTGTCATGTTTCTGATGTTATTTGTTGCATTGACCATTATTTCCATACTGTACGTATATGTATGAATTTGAATAGGTATTTTTAATTTTAAGTTTCGGAGAAGTGCAAGTTGTTCCTGATTGTCTTGTTGCAGACAGAATACATTTTTATACTTCTCCAACCTGAAAATAACACAGTTCATATTCATTCCAAATGAAAGTCAGATAACAAAATCCTCCGGAAAAATGCATAGTGAAGACTAAAAATGTCTGTGCAGTTTAGGCTGAAATTTTTTAAAATGCTATCAATTTGTTTTGAAATATTTCATGCAGTAGAAACAATTGACTATCTTTGCATGACCAACACTTATTGACTACAACATAATTACCAATCTTTTTCTTTACGGAGCAAATTCGCAAGGTTTAAATTGTATATAATGTCTTCATTAGTCGAAATACTTCAATATGTATTTATCAAAAGGGCAACGAAACAGTAGAGATAATATTTATCGCAAAATGTCGTGTTATCAATACACAGAAAATACACTTCAACAGGATGAAAGTGCTCCCTAATACAATCATAATTACTACATTACCAAAAGATACCTTCTGCTCAATTTCAGTTTTGGTCCATTTGCTTCCATTGTACTGATGACAAGTGTAAATGACGAGGTTTTTGGTGATTTCCAGTTCCAGTTTGAGCGTTATGTAGTCAACAGTTTTCTCGTCGCCTGTTTTGTCGACCACTGAATGAATAGACGCCACTTCCTCCATCATCGGTGAGTTGTGTTTAAATATCACAGCTCTAACGGCTTTAACTTCGTCTGTACCCGGTGTCGCGTCTGCAGTAGTAGTAGAATCTTCGTCCAGTTTCTGTTCTTTCCCCTGAATTGTTATATTAAAAATTGTTGATACGAACACATCATCCTTTTCTACTTTTATCACTGAAAACCTTGCATTGCGTTCCTCGTTACTCCATGGCGTGATAGTAACAGAGGCTTTTCTGAAAAAGAAAACTTCGCTAGTTTTGTGATTTGGTTCATATATACAACACTTTTTAAAATCAATTTTGGACCAAAATAAGAATACCAACATTTTCTCATCACCATAGTAATCATACCACTGCCACACGTGAAAATAATGACACTTTTGTTAAAGTGTTTCCAGTGATATTTCGATTTAATATGGTGAAATTTCCTAGTATGAGTAGTATAATACATTCCATTAAAAATGAACAACGCTAGTTAAAATAGATATTTTTTAATAATCATTACTAGAAATATGAAGTATGGAAACAGTTATTAAAAATAAAGTAAGTGGACGAAGAATTCAAAACAATGAAAACATTTATTACTCCATAAGTCTACTTTAACCATTTAGGATTCAGTTCTGGTACTAAAGATTAAACATGGAAATCGCAGTTTAAAGGGTTCCAAAACATGTAAATGAACAAAACTTAGAAATGAGCCTATCATTTTTTATAATATAACAAGTTTACACGCTTTGACAACATTAGATCATTATTTTTATGCTTGTATTTTATTTAAAATGTGCCAGACTATATTCCATCTGGATGGTTACGATCAGCTTATTCGACTAGAGTCGATCAAAAGAGTCAATCACCTCGTGAACTTTAACCGAAACTAGAAATAACAGGTAAGCAAATATATGCAAACAGCCATAGATATTAAACATTTTTTTGCGTTTAGTTATACGATCAGATTTTTTTTTTCAATAAAGAGCGAAAATACGAGTAAACGTTATGGAAGGTTATTTACAGACGTCTATAATACATACATCAGAAATCATCGTCTATCCTTTACCAAAACGAAACCCGAGACGGAAGTTCATTATCGAGTGTACTGACACAGCGTACGATGTCATGGCGTAAAGCGATGCTAGGATATTTCCAGTACCAATATTTCCTGCACAAACCATTATGTGCTGAAAATTATGTGAAAATTGATAGCATCGCTTGATTTATTACTTTATAAAAACACTTTCATTACAGAATACCTCTGTAAACATTTGCATGTGAGTGTGTGTGCGTTTGAAAAAAGCAGGAGTGTTATATGTTATTACTCTACCTCTCCTCCTCCTCCTTTTCTATGTTCTGCTTTTTCTCCTTTTTTGGCGTGTTGTCTTTCTCTTCCTTTGTTCTAAAAATAAACATTATTGAAATGGAACATTAAAACTACCACGAATCATATTAAACAAAAGGTTACTAATTATTTACTAGTCAAATTAACTCTCTTGCAAGTATTTCAACAGAAAAAAACACTTACTTTGTATTCCCCATTTTTCATCGTCACTACCAGAAATTATACCTAGAACGAGAAATATACAAATAAATAAATAAATAATAAATAAAATAACATTTCTTTTCAGTAGTTAAACATTTTGTTTGTTGAAATGAAGCTTTTTTCACTAATTTATTATTTAATGATTAATTATATCAATTGTAATGAACATTATTTTAAAAGACATCCCATTGTGTAACGGGAAATCAACATTTAGAAACAAGTTGCTGACTTCAAAATGCATTCAACTTCTTTAATTAATGTTTTATTTAAGCTACATGTACCTAGTTGTATTGTGATACATATTCAATATCCTCACTGCGACCTTTTCTACTGATATATATATTTATTTCGCTTTCGCGACATCAAACAATCCTGCTTCCAGCATTTACTATCAGATTGAAAAAATCGAAATATGCATTCGGGATCCCGGTGCACTCAAATAGATCTGCTAGACTAAGTATCTCTATATTCACGAAATTTATGGCAGTCAATGTCTTCTATTTCATGTGCTTCCTGTTTATTTGAATAAGAGATTAGAAATCCCATTTGCAACCCAAGCAAATAAATTATAAATTCTTATTTGCACTCATTGATCACTGTCAACCTGTGCAAATTGATATTTGTCGAAGCTTGGTAACGTGAATTTTCCCATGCAGCTATACCTTCAATATCAATCGAT